AGATGTGTGCAGGCCTCAAAAGGCAGACGGCATTGTAATGTCTGCCTTTCCATAGAGAGATCAAAGGTCTTTTGTCCCTTTCAAGATGTTTGTAGAATTTGTTTCCCAATTATCCCACATTTGCGCACTGGGACATCCTAGTTAACTCTTTGATGGCACCTCGAGAATTGGACCATAATTTACATCAAGCTGCACCTTCCTACTCGGGGCTCGGGCTGAGATTCCCATCTGGGGGCAATGCTCCGAGAGAGAACAGGAGGGATGGAAAATGGGGTGCAGGCTCAGGCACTGGTCCCTTGGTTCCAGCCCTGCTCTGTGCTCAGACTTGGCTGAGCCTGGGGCACTGTGCCCGTTCCGATTCAGGTGTAAACTGTGGCTCCGATTTGGCCCTTGTGAGGCTTAAGAGCAGAACCTGACTGCCTTTGAAGACCATTCTAGAAAAGATATCTCTGAATACATCATCTTCCCACTGGGGATATTTCTCTCGGCCTGGAAAGATATTTGATCTCAGAAATGGAAAGTAGAAGGTGGCGTTTGGGGACTGTGGGACAGAAGGGTGGGGAAGTGATCAATCAATAGGCACTAAGGTACGGTTAAATAGCAGCAAGCAGCTCTGGGTGTTCTGGCACAGTACGGAGACTACTGAAAACAATTGTGTAGGGGACATTTCAAAGAGCCAGAAGAAAGGGTTTGGAGAGCTTTTACCACAGAGAAATAATATTCAAGGAGATGAATGTGTAACTTGCTTTAAACGTGACACAATGTATGCCTTAGGTGCAACTTTTATGTCTTTGTGTATACATTAAAATATTAAAGAATAAACTGATGGAGGGAAAAGCCATCAAATATTTGGTAAAAGTGAGAAAAGAAGCAGTTGAGATTTAAAGTTTCAGTTATAGCATTTTTGAAACTAAATGTGATTCACATAGCATACCAAAGTAGAAAATATCTTTTTTTTTTTTTGTACCAGGGATTGAACTTGGGTCCTTGTGCTTGCGCAGCAGGCAGCGAAACAATATCTTTAAGAAAATCTAATATGAAGACTTTTTCTGGTGTGAGTTTTGTCAACTTTTCTTGTTTTCCTTTTGCGTGTTCAGTTTTTCTTTTCCACTCTGCAAGTGTTTCTTCCCGAGTGTTTAGTTCAATTTGTCTTTCACATTTTTGTCTTTGCTTAAGGAAGACACAGGAAGAAAAGGAGGAAAAGAAAGCCTTCCTGAATCTCTTCTTATGCAAATGGAATGGCCCTTTCGGAAATAATTTTTTTTTTTGCAAAGCCCACAACAATTTGGAAAATGAAAAATACCACGGGGCCAAGGAGCCACATTCCCAGGGCTGCTCCTCAAACTTTCTCAGACACTTTTGTCTTTTTCTTTCCTTGCATTTTAACCCTTTAAGAATCCACCTGTGTCCTCAAAAGTTGTAAATTGAAGAGATAAGATCCTGGGAGAGTAGGAAGAGCCTCTTCTACCATAGCTTATTTTGGCAATTTCAGGAAACCCCAGATCAGAGAGGCTGCCTGGCCCTCCGCACTCTGCAAACATCAAATTCAGAAATGCCTCCTTTCCCCGTAGGTAACCCCCCTGGGAGGGCTCCTCCTCCAAAAATATAGAGCGAACGAACAATGTCACAAGAAATGTCACAGAATGTGAACAATGTCACAGAAAATGCATTTTCTTGGGCCAGGGATTTAGCTCAGTGGTTCCACTGCCTGCCTTGCAAGCTCAAGGACCCAAGTTTGATCCCCGGTACCAAAAAAAAAAAAAAAAATGCATTTTCTGTTCTTTGCAGCAGAAAAGGGACAATTATAGCCTCCTGGTGTTTCCACATACAGAAAAAGTAGCTTTAACAGGGGTTCTGCTGCTGGAGAAGGGGCTGGAAGGTTTCACCTAGGAGGAAACAGGGCCACCCCACTAGGGAAGGGACTCCGGGTAGGGTGGCCAAATTTAGCAAATGAAAATAAGAACATTCCATTAAATTTGAATTTCAGAGAAATAAGATTTTTTCTTTTTTTTTGTCTAAGTATGTCCCAAAAACTACATGGGATACACTGATACTAAAAAAAGTTACTCCATTGTTTATCCAAAATTCACATTTCATAGTGATAGTATTCCCAGATAGTATTCCATTATATATATGATATACTACTTTTTCTTTAAAAAAAAAAAATAATAATGCATCCTGTATTTTATCTGGCAGCTCTAGCTTTGGTTCCAAATAGGATCAAGGAAGCCAAACAGAAATCTCTTTTTTTTTTTTTCAATCTAGAAGCAAAATTGAATCTGTGAAGAAATCACGGGAAGGAACCACGATTGGCAGGCCAGCAGCGTGTGGGAAAAAGGCAACTGCCCAGCCCCGAGTCAGGCCGGTGCTGAGGGGAGCGTTCCAGTCTGCTCAGCCCTCACTTCTCACTCCCCACCTCTGCCCCAGAGGAGGAAACTGGGTCCCTGAGAAGGAAGCACCAGACCGGGTCACCCAACATGCAGCCCAAGTGTATGTGGACACCCAGCAGCATTTAAAAACCCAAACGGTTCCTGTTGGGACGGCCAGGATTCTGGAGGCCTTCCTAACTCGGACTTCACAGCACAGGACGGTTTATTTTGATGACCTCTGAGGCTGGGAGTACTGTGGCTTTTAGGAGATACAGGTTGACTTGGGGCCTGGCTGTCCCCAGGGTCCAGGCCTCTGAGACTCCAAACCTCATTTGCTGCACTGGCCTTGGGAAATGGCCCGAGGCTCCTATCCACAGCCTGAACCCTCAGACCCCTGGCCATGTTTCAGGGAGGTTGGGCTCGGAGAGGGGTAGCTTGGGTCAGATTCTGTCGTTAGAGGACAGAAGTTTCCCAAAATTAGCTCTTCCAAGCACCCCTTCCTTGCCACACACAAAGGGCATCCCCTCCCTCCTGGTCCCAGTTCTCACTAAGTCCCCAGGCCCGGGTAGGAACTGCCTTCCGGGCTCTTACAGCTCCTGGATGCCTGGTTCCCAACTCAAGGAGCCCCGGCCACTCCTTCAGCCAGTCACTCCTCCTATCCCCTCCAACTCCCTGCTGTTGTAGGACAAGCCCTTTGGTCCTGCTGGGCCTCCAGGGAGACAGAACAGCTGGCCAGCATCTGGTGCTCTCCATTAGCCAGGGTCCCTGGCCCCTGGGCCTTCCGCTCCCCAGGCAGAATAATCCCGCTTCCTCTAACCTTTCGGCTGGGCCCCGAGCTCTAGGGCTTTCATCCTGTCCATCCAGCCTCTGAAGCCCCTCCAGGCTCCCTGGCCTCCCTTTGGCTCTGCTGGGCCAGGCCAGACTGACCCAGGGTGGGGGCAGCTGTGAATGACCCTCTCCCCTCACTATGTGGGCAAGTGGGGGAGGGGAACGTGTCTGGGAAGGGGCAGGGGTTGGGCTGTGCCAGGCTCCCTACCCCCTGGTGAGGCCGACTTGCCTCCTGCTCTGCCAGGGCAGGTTGGAGGACAATGCCCCAGGGTGATTCAGACGGAGCCCTCTGCTTCTCATCCCTCACTGGGTGACTCTGGCAGGTGACCTCCGCTTTAGACCTCAGCTTCCTCACCTGTAAGGGGTAGTTAGGAAGATTCCAGGCACAAGTCCCCATGGGCTGGGCCTGGCCTGCAGTGAGAGCCCCGTGGGCATGTAGGACTACCCGGGCAGGCTGTGTGCAGGGACAGCATCTCTGTGTTACCATCCTCCTTCCCTTCAGCCCAGCATTGCACCGCTAGGCCCAGGTCTGGCTCTGCCCTGGAGGTAGATTCAGGACCTGTTGTATTCTGCTGCAGCCTGGCCTTAGGGAAAGAGGGGGCCTACAAACAAGCCCAGTAAACTCTTCCTCTTCAGCGCCTCCAGAATCCCTTTGGAGATCTCTTTCTGGAAGCTTCCATGGTCCCAGTGTGGTGAGGGCTCTCCATTCTCTCCCTAGTGTGGTGGCTCCCCCAGAGCGGGTGTGTGTGTGCCCCAAGCCACCATAGGCATCTAGCTGACAAGGCCAGGGTGACCAATCATCCATACTGAGCATTTACAGATTTGACACCTCCAAAAACCAAGCTCCCAGGAGCTCCTGCCACTATCCGGGCCTCAGGTCCTGTTGCTCGGAGACCACCATCCTGGAGGCATCACAGAAATGCTGGCTGCTTCACGCCCAGAGACGGCACACACTACTCTGAGTTAGAAGTGATCACACGGTGCCAACCCCTGGTCCCCAGAGCTAGCTTATTCTGGATGGAGCTGAAGAAGCCGTCCTGCCCGCCTTCTGCTTCTAACCTGGACGGTCCCTCTGTCCCCCTCTCCCTGAGCTTCTGTGATGCCCCAGGAGTCTGGGGCTTGGTCTCCAGCTCACATTAGGATTAGGAAAGCGCTCTTGATGAACACGCAGCGTCCCACCCGAATATCATGTCTGCATCCAACACTCAGCAATGGACCTCATGACTCATTTGGTGATCAAAACCTGAAATGAAGGGCTGGGGGTTTAGCTCAGTAGTTCCAGCACCTGCCTTGCAAGTGCAAGGTCCTGAGTTCGATCCCCAGTACAAAAAAAAAAGAAACCAAACTTGGAATGAATCCAGGAGAGCAGAGAGATATTAAATGCAAACTTCTAATTACTCCTTTAGTAATCTTTTCTTCCAGTGACTGAGCTAAAACATATTTTTTTCTAGCAATTATTTTTAACATTCGGAAAATTGCCCTTAAGATATGCAAAACACATTTTGCATGAATCGCACTTAGGAGAGAGAGGCAAGCTCTCTTTTTCCCCTCCATCTCAGTTATTAAGAAAATGCGAAGTTAAATTTGTCGTTAATCACATTCCCGCAGCAGAGCAGAACCGGAGTGACTCAAATCAAGTAAGAGAAAAAAACCCAGAAATACTAAATCGAGCATCTTCTCTATCTTGTGTCTCCAATTCCTGCCAAGGTGTGCAGGTTTCAGAGTGTTTTCCTGGCAGTGAATCCCTGCCTCCCCCCAGGGTTTTTAAAGTGGGCCAAGGAGGTTAGAGAGGTGGAAACTTACCTGTCGGCATCCGGAGAGGCAGGTTGGGGGCAGGTCGAGCTGGGAGCCGCCTGTGCCAGGGCCCGGCTTTGGAAGGCAGAGGCACGGTGTGTGGATGCCTTCGTGGACAGGTGCACAGAACCCTCGGCCTCCGAGGCGCTACCTGCGGTTTACTGGCCGTTTATTAGAAGCCCATGCAATATCATGAAGCACCTGCAGGCAATAAAATCCCTTACATGTGTGAGGCCTCGAGGAAATTAACGGCTCCTCCCTGGGGATGCATATTTTGTGAAGATGTTTATTACAGATGAAGTGCTCCTGGGGTGGAACATTAACAAGTTGTAGAGTGATAAAAGGGTTTTTATCCTTTCTCGGTGACAGAGGTAGGAAGAAGGCTTTAACGGAATCTATAAAAGGCCCACTTCCTAATGAATTTTCTTAACTCTTTATTAATAGAATTGGTGAAGTGGAGTGGGGGGAGCGCAGTGTGCTGGACCCTTGGACAAGGGGGATGCAGCAGAATCGGGGTGCACTGGGCTGGATACTGCATGGAGAAGGCAAAGAGGGGTGTGAGTGTGAATCCAGACAGGGAAGCCCCTCACTAGGTGAGCATGGCAGGGTGGGGGGCTTGGAGGCCGCTGCTCTGAAAAACTCATTTGAGACCCCTCGGGGTGCTGGGGTGAGTCAGGCCCCAAGGCTGGTTCCAAGCCCCTCTTTTTAACCCCCTGTTCCCCACTCCAGCCTGCAGGCCATTACAGAGATGAAAGCGGGGGAATGCCTTTGGACCAGGACTGCGGAATCTAATTGAATTATATGAATGCAGTTAAACGTCTGCTTCAGAGAGGCAGGGCTGCTTTCCAAGCCCTGCTGCTTGGGAGCTAATGGGCTATTTGAACAATAGAGGCCGAGGGCCGAACACAGGTGGGCTGTGTTAATAACTTTATTTAGGCCCGCTTTTTTTTCCCCCTTTGAGGCGCACAAGCCTTCCATTAATGCATTCATTAGAGTTTATGGCCGGGCTCTGGTTTTCTCCTAATGACACTGTCCAGACCCTGCTCCCCAGCTAATTGAGGCCAGCTGCCCAGCTGCCCCACCCCAGCCTCAGGACCCAGTGTCACCAGGATTAGCTGCTGGGCCAGGGCTGAGGAAAGCGAGCCCTACTGCCCTCCTCGGTAGCCGCACAAGAGGAGGGGACAAGGAGCCTGTGTCTTGGCATACCCGCAGCCCCACCCGCTGCTCCCTGGATGGTCACAGCCACTCTTGGCCCTTCCTGGCCTCCCTCTCTGCTGCAGTTACACTGACGTTCCAAGAGGCCAACCTGACACCCTATGCATCGCTCAAGAACCTGCTGTGGCTCCTCAGTGCCCTCAGAAGAAAATGCAGACTGACTTTGCACTCTGTGTTCTTCAAATTGGCTCCACGCTTGCCTTCAGGCACACTGGGTTCTGGACACATTCTTCCTCTGCTTTTTGGGGACTAACAACGAGGAACACTCCACCTTAACCCCAGGAACCCAACTTCTCCCAAATCTGCCAGTTTGGCTTCAAACACAGCATCTGCCAGGAGCCTGTTTTCTGCCTGAATCTGAATCCTTAATGATTACGTATGTGTCTTACCATGGTCACCTCTTTCCACTAGACCGCATACCTGGAGGGCAGGACCCATGTTTCTTAGTGTTGTTAATCACTTACTATGTGCCAGTTGCTCTATGAACATTAGCTCATTCAATCTCCAGCAGTACCCTGGGAGTGACATGCCTTATCCCTATTTCACAGATGCAGGAACTGAGGCTCAAGGACAGGAAGTTACTCGCTCAAGAACACCCAGCTGTAGCGTTTACTGACCTGACTCACCTCCCTAAGGACAGCATCTGCACTGTGGGACTCTCTCAGTGATTACTGGAATCGGCTCATGCGGCTTCCAAGAGCATCTTGTTCAATTTTCAGAAATTAAGTAATGCTGTGAGCTGGTTGCTCGACACTGGCATTGTTAAAATTATACATCAGCTGGCCATGGTGATCTGTGATCCACCTGTGATCGCAGCACTCTGGGAGGCTGAGGCAGGAGGAGCAAAGTTTCAAGCCCAGTTGGGGCAACCTAGTAATTTAGGAGATCTGTCTCAAAATTTTTTTAAAAGGGCTGAGGATATAGCTCAGGGCAAAAGGCCCTGAGTTCAATCCCCAGAACCACCAAAAATTAATTAAGTGAAATTTAAAATTATATAAACTCACAATTAAATAACTGATATTGGACTTAAAGTAATAAATACTCCAAACTCGTCAATCCCTGTAGATTCACTTTATTGTACTATCACCTAAACTCACAGGCTTCATGTATCGTACCTGTGGTAGAGACTTCATATGGGTGCCTGCTCTCCCACACTGTAACAAATACCTGCAAGAAGCAATTTGTACACATAAGATCCAAACTATAGCGTGGAGGTTTCCACCCACCTCCTCACACCACATGCAGGGCCATCACGTGTGAAATCAGCCATCGTGGGGGTATTTACACCACAGAAATTAGCAAACTGTATAGAGCGGTGCTTTTTATCCTCTAGAGAGCTGGTTGTGAGACATGTACTAGCATTTCGCTGGGTCATAGGGAAGCACCAACAGAGAAATCTACCTGAGACACGTGCCTGTAATCCTAGCTAGGCTGAGTCAGGGTGATCACAAACTTGAGGCCAGCCTAGAAAAATTAGTGAGACTCTGCCTCAAAATAAATAAAAAGAGGGCCGGGGATTTAGCTCAGTGGTTCCACTGCCTGCCTCATAAGCGCAAGGACCTGAGTTCGATCCCTGGTACCAAAAAATAAATAATAAATAAATAAAAAGGACCTGGGATGTAGCCCAGTAGTACAGCACTTCTAGGACTGGAAAAAGAAAAGGAGGAGGAAGAAAGGAGAAAGAAGGGAGGAGGGAGGAAGGAGGAAGGAAGGAAGGAAGGAAAAAGAAGGTCACGCCAAGTTGCTAAGTTGCCCGGGCTGGGCTCAAACTTGCAATCCTCCTGCCTCAGCTTCCCAGTATGCTAAAATAATAGGCAGTACCACCCTGCCAACCAGGAAGTAGCTCTTGATTTCTCCTTCCCAGGTTGGGTGGGTAACCCTTCTGGGTACTCCCACATGCCCATGTGTGGCCCCTCACTGCATTTACCTTGGTGTTTATAAAGCTGTTTCCCCAGCAGCCAGAGAGCAGGGTGCTGAGGACAAGGTAGGATTCCTCTCCTCAGGGTCAGCACGGAGCCAGGCACAGAAGAGGTGCTCAGAGAACCATGCTGACAGGAGTGAAAAGGCACGGCATAGGTGCGTGAGCATCTCTTCACAAGAGATCACAGAACACCTGTCAGAGGGGCCAGAGTTTTGTAGGGAACAAAATAAGCACAGTTCTTGCCCTCTGACCTCTCCCATGACAGAGTTTGGGGAATTTCTGGAAGCCAAGTATGGCCAGAGTATAGGAGAGGCTTGGTGCATCATATTGTGCCTTAAATTCATGCTGAAGATTTGTGCTTTATCCTGTGACCAGTGAGAAGCTACTGAAAGCATGCGGCATAGTCAAATGTCAGTTCTAAAAGGATGATTCCAAAAAAATGGCACCAGGCACAGATGGTTGTCTGCATTCTCCAAAGAATAGATAATGAAGATGTAATTTATAATTTTCCAAAGGACTGAAAAAGATGGGAAGCTTCACTTATAATTTTATGAGGTTCATACAAATTGAATCCCAAAATGTAACGAAGACATCTCCATAAACCTGATAAACTAATTTCAGCTGTAAATATCGATGAGGAAATAGAAAGTTAATTGCTATCAAAGAGAGTCTCAGAGAACATTAAAAGGAAAATACACTGAGATTAAATAGCATTTGTTTCAGAAATGTGGGTCAGATGGCTCTGGGGATTTAGCTCAGTGCTTATACAGCCTGCCTTGCAAGTGCAAGGACCTGAGTTCGATCCCTGATACAGAAAAAAAAAAAAAAAAGAAATGTGAGTCAGGTAAGGAAAATCTATGTATGTAATCCATCACATTTAATTCCCACTCTCAATTTAAATACCATGCAGACTTTGATGGTAAGAGTGGAACAGAGGCCGCAAGCACAGGAACCACACCAGGATGCTGACACTGGCCATGTCATGTTACAAACACTGTGCACACCTTCTTTGTGCCCCCACCCAGCCTGCAGGTGTTGAAGGAGGCACTCAGCATTGCTAGGTTATACCTGAGGCTACACGTGACTCCCAGAACACCATCTGTAACCCACCTGGGCAAGCAGTCATGACACACCAGTGATCTCACATGACTGACAAATACGGGGAAACAAAGTGAAGTTGTCATTTACAGATGAAGATGTCATTTGCTTGCAAAACCCAAGGCAATCAAATGAAAAGTTATTAGAAGGGGCTGGAGATGTAGTTTGGTGGTAGAGCACTTGCCTCACATGTGCAAGGCCTTGAGTTCCATTTCTACCAATGCAAAAAGAAAATAGAAGAAAAGGAAAGAGGCAGGAAGAGAGGGAGGGAGGGGGGAAGGAGAGAGAGAGAGAGAGAGAGAGAGAAATTATAAGAATAAGAAAAGAGTTTGGTAAAATGACTAGTGGAGTAAGTGGAAAGCAGAAAATTTTCTATATTTCAGTAACAAACAAGGTAAAATGGGAAAAAACTTCATTTATAAAAGCCATAGAAAGTACTAAATGCCTAGAAATAAACATAACCAGAAATGTACAGGGCATATAAGAATACAACTTTATTAAAGAGTGTAGATAAACTTTTAAGTAACTAGGGAGAATCTTTTTTTTTTGGTACCAGGGATCAAACTCAGGACCTTGCACTTGCCAGGCAGGTGGCAGTACTGAGCTACATCCCCCGCCCATAGGGAGAATCTTTTAAAAACTGGGCATCTTCCTAGATGGGAAGATTGATTGCTGTAAAACTGACCATTCTCTCCAAAGCAATCTGCAAATTTAACACCAGTAAAAACAAAATATCACTGGGATTTTATTTTTTAACTGAATTCTAAAGTTTATCTGGAAATATATTAGAATTACCATTAATTGTTTTTTCAGCACTAGGGTATGAACCCAGGGAGCACTGAGCTACCTCCTTATCCACTTTCAATATTTTAAATCTTGAGACAAGGTCTCACTAAATTGCCCAGATTGGCCTTAAACTTGCCCTCCTCCTGCCTCAGCCTCCTGAGTACCTGGGATTATAGGCATGTACCACTCTGCCCAACTATCATGACATTTTTTATTTTTTATTTTATTTA